TGTACAAATGGAAGTAGAATGCGTGCCGCATCCCAAGACGGGGATTGATCAACGGCAAAAGCTTTATCCTTTATCCTTTATTTTCTCTTTCCATCTCCAAAAATTTGTAAAATGCATTTTCTCAAACAAGGCCTCTTGTCAAAAGTGACAATCACGGTTATCACCCACCCCTTCTTGCTTAGGCTTTGCACAAAGATGGTTCTAGATGGAAGGTTCTCTTGGCCTGGACGGTAACCGTTCCGGAGTTTTACACACCTTGCCAAACGCCCCTGAGTTGGGCGCGTGGTAAGACGCGGCACTTATTACCACGCAACTTCTCCAGTTTGCAATGCGGAGTGACAAAAAGTTCCTTAAATTACTTCCTGTCTAGTTATTTGTTTTACTACATCAGAAATGTTACACTCAGCCTATCTCATTGCGTTACCTACTCAAGTTCCCGGGAAAATTTTTCATATCTTTCCCTTGCATGCTTTAAATATTCTTATTTCAAGGTATACGAATTCCGGGAAAACCAGCTTAGTGAAATGTCTCACTGGAGCTGCGAGCTTGGATCCTAAAGATCGCCTCTTCGCCACCCTGGACACTACACGACACAGCGCCAGGTGAGCTGGCAATTTTGGGCTGTCAACTACAGTTAATTCCTTCTAATAAGTTGAAGATAAGGATGACCGGGACGCGTCGTGCTTTTAATCTTCGCTTGAAATCTTGCGATATTAAGGACAGATTTAGCTCTTCAGCGTATGGCATTGCATTGGCATGTGTTGCTCATTACTTGTATTTCATGAACAACCCCCTAGTAGTAGAAAATAACACTGAGAAAACATGATGAAGCAGCAGAACTTGATGAAATGGAACTGGTGAATGAAGATAGAGAGATAAGTAAACAAGTAATTAAATCTATTGAAAAATATGAGGAATTTGGCGAAGGATCTAACCAGAGGATACTGATTTCTCATTTTTCTGTTCAGAAGACAAGACCTTGTTGATAGATGTCGGCGGTGCTTTCCAAAGCTGCTGTTGTAGAATTTATAATATCTTCAAAAGGGGAATTCCCGAACTTTCCTCAGATAACGTCTTCAACCACAAGTTCAGGCTCCCATCGGGTCGCAAGGTAGTGTTCACGGACACCATTGGATTCTTGAGTGATCTTCCCATGCACCTTTTGGCTGCCTTCCAAGCAACGCTTTCCCATGTAACCTTGGCAGTACGTTTTTTACTCATTTTTCTTTCAAAATGAGACTTTGTGCGAATATGTTCTGGTAATGTCGCTAAATTTCAGGATGTCATCATTCATATTCGCGACCTTTCGAATCCAGACTGGCCAGCACAGAGCGAAGACGTGGAGAAGACTCTGGAGCAGATTGGATTGCCTCCAGATCGACTGAATGATGTGTATTGATGAGCTGCACACAAGCGTAGAACATCTGCCTTTTCGGCTCATTTTATTCTTTTTGGTGCTATTGCGAGGGGAGGTAGGGCACTACGGCGGCAGCGGATATAAAACCTCGAAAAACATCTTTTTGCTTTTACGCCTGATTCCAGGACCGAGCCACAGAGTGGGGGGATAGGGGAAGAAGATTCTAGGGTGCGTGAGCTACTTCCAGTTTTTACTACGCTTAGCCCTAGCTGTAGCCCATTTTGGATGGCACATTCTTTTTTCATCTTCCTTTCAGCAAATGCATGTATAAGGTGATTGCAAATCGAGCATCAGAGAAAAAATAAAGAAAAAATTAGGCTTGATTATTTATAGATTGATGTGGAAGGGACACCCTCGACGTCTTCATCAGGAGCCGTGAGAATATCGTGCAAAACGTCCGAAGGCATAGAGGGTCTCATAGAGAAAGTAGATAAAGTGAGTCAACTTGCAGTGAATTTGCTATCGCTAGATATGGCCCTTTAATATCCAAATCTTGTTTTCATGTTTTGTTTATTTTCTTGGATATTTCATAATGAGTGACTGGAAAATTATCTTTAACTAGAAAATGGGGCATTTTTCGTTTGTTTCGAAGCAGCTCACATGAAAGTCCGTAGATTCACTCGCTCTATTTAATTCATTTACTTATTTTCCTGCTATCTTCAGCGATGTGGTCTAGCTGTTGGAGCACCACTTAGCTTTGCCGCTCACTACATTCCGTTTCTTCGGTATGGGGCACAGAAGCTCCAGCTCCTTTTACATGCAACTAATTTTGTCTGAGTGTGCCAGGCATGTTGTCCTCAAGTGACCTGAGTACATACATCTGTTTGATGCAGTGATAGGTTAACCACTGCGTCTTTCAAACTTGTTTAGATATGGAACGTCGTTTCTGGAGCGTCTTAATTCAGTTCGTTTCATTTTAGATGGTACTACAGACAACCGGTTGTGATAGCTTCGTAGATTTCGCTAAGGTTCGTGTCGCAGCTTCATTTCTTACTGTACAGGTGAGTGCAATATGAAATTGTACTTGCTTCACACGTAAATTCTTCAAACGAAGGAGGGGCTAGGGCAAACCATAGCGTGTTTTTCAAATCTTATCTCTTCCAAACCAGTTCTTTCATCCATTTCGAGTAGGCTAACTGGTAATCAGTGATTTTTTCAATTTAGAATAAGCCATCCCTCGTCTCATCGGCTGTGCCTTCGCGAATTCTGTAATTAGGATCACATGCGCATGAAATATCACTGTGCTTTGATCTGTTCGGCCCATTGCGGTGGGCGTATCCAGAGAGGGATCCTTATGCGTCAAAGAGCTATTTTTGTAGAAGGGAAAAGAGATGCCATAGTCACAGTTATGAAGTAGTAGGGAGAGTGAATAGTGTTTTGAAAAACCATGGAATCGTTTCAGTGTGATAAGACTTAATTCGATATGAGATCTCGCATCGCTACATACTTTGATAGGGTTCACGGAATTGAGGTTCATTCTATGGTCCTGTCACGAATGCTAGGGTACGCAAGTGGAGGTGAGAGGGAAAGATGGAGCCTGCGAGTAAGCTTAGAGGGGAGTGGCTTGGTGGTGAGTTCATACGTTATGCAGAAGTTGCTGGTGAGGTTAAGTCTCTAGGATCCTGGGCTAGGTGAGCAGAATGCAAGCGGAGAAATCAAGTTGAGCATATTGAAAGGTAACTCGGTTCAAGTAGGCCACATTGATAGTAATCTCGAGCGTAATGAAACCCGCAATAACCCACCACCCAGCAGGGTCAATCCTACGTTGTTACTAGTAACAACGGGGGGTCGTACCTGGTTGAGTTTATAGGAGGGGGGTCGTATCCGCTTCAGTCGCGTGAAAGTACATGTGAGTTTGTGGTGAAAGTGGAGTTTTCACGAGTAGTAGGCTAGGTGAGTTGCCCCCCCCCCCCCCCCCCCCCCTAGAAAATGAAGCAGTGGGATTATAGGTAGAAGAGGGGTAAATAACATGCTATTCGAAGTTAATTTACGGTAAATTTTTACTGTTTTCATAGTGGGTATATACCCCCCCCCCGCTCGACGGCATTTTTGGAGGAAAAAGTGGGCGGAGTTTGGTGGGTTGAGTGGTACCAGAATTAAATACTATATAGAGGAATATGGTGGTCGAGGTGTCGAAAAGGGGGTCGTACCAAGTCCACCTTGGGGGAGGGGGGTCGTAAAAATTTTGAAAAAGTAACAACGATAGGACTGACCCTGACTCCATGAGGCATTTGCTGTACGACCCTCACGACACAGTGGAAACGACAACTTGAAATTTTAGGAGATTGAGGTGTTCTATGCATTCCTGCTTCTAATCTACAATAAAATTGTTGATTTTGTATATCATTAAACTGTTATGTTTGTAAACCAAAATTGTTTTTGTTTTTGTTTTTCGATCTCAATATTGTTATATGTACTTTTATTCAAAATTTATTTAGGGGGTGGGATTCAAAGAGTAGTTTAGTCTCCGTTTCGCACGTGCCCTTAGACGGAGACTAAACGAAAGAGTATCCTCTCCCTGTGCTCATCAGTAAGGGAGGAGAGGATCAAATTTTTTTGATATTGTTCATTTGAATTCAATCAATATTGAATTATAATTTTTCTGTAATGATATGAAAACAATTTTCTGTGAATATCCTTAGTTTTTACTAACAAAAACAACGTGTTTGAAATTAACATGATTAAATGAACACTGAGCAAAGTCTTTTTCAATAAAAAAGTGTAAGAATTTATTTACTACATTATTTACAAGCCATTCTAATGATTTGTTTAGGGAAGGTTTCGTTTCTCGAGAACCAAGTGCCGCTGGCTCTCATCTGGTGTTTGATGTGTTCATGAATGATGCCGAATTTGCTCGGTTTCAGAAGTCTACCGGCACACTGAAACGCAAATCTTCTTGAGTCGAATCGTTCCTATTTTGTCTGTGTAAATTGAAATTCGGCTTCAGGAGCCGTAAGATCTTAAGTGATGCTATAGAATAGCTTTCTAGTGTTTGCCCATGAGCTTTGGCAACAACCCCAGATGAGGTCGTGTGGAAAAATCTTTTCTGTGGATTGGATAGAGAAGCCCAAAGTATCACACATTTGCCGTTGTCGCGGCTCAAAAGTTCGCGATAGTGGCGCAAAGGCCTTACAAAGGATAAAGATTTTATGGTGAATAAAGTGGACTTATGGACGAGATACCTCGTTCACTCCCCTTGATATGCAATGTGGATTACTATAGTCGTATAACTTCGTATAATCATTCTGGGTCATAATGAGCCGTGCGAGCCAAGCCAATCGGACAGTTCCTCCGGGCGCGCTCCCGCTCCCTCATTCCAGGCGGAGAGTGAAGAAATTACTCGCATACTAGCTCAATTGGCGGGTTTGCCTTAGTTTTTTTTACTATAAGTCCAGTTTCTGCCATCCACAAATTTCATTATGCGACTCTATCTTGTTATCCAACAAATTTGATCGTGGTTGCTGCTTGAAAGAACTGGTAGCCTATAAGCTGTTACTTTCGTTGTTTTGTACAGATTGTCAGGTTTGTTTATTCCATATCTGTTCACTGTGCTCATTATAATGAACCGTTTTACGGTACTTCTGAACTGAGACCTGATACTGCCCGGAGACTTGGAACTATCGTGCTGTTTTTTGTCACCTAGTTTGAATCAGTGTTTCTGTTTTGATTTCCCAATTTATTATTGTAATCATGGTTAAGGTGAAACTGAGGCTAAACCTGCTAAGATGGCTGAATTTCAAAAACATCTATCAGTAAATGGGGTGGTCTTTTTGCCGCACGTCTTAAGGGCCTTGTATTTATATAGCCTGATTTGGATTTCTTTCAGCCTGCTTTGTCACTTGAAATAAAGTGCAACATGGTAGGAGTTACCGATTTCACGCCCAGTGATCCTGAAAATCATCGGTGGTTTCTGAAGGTGCGTTTCATGTGGAAACAGGTTTCAGGGAGAAAGTGATGATCAGTCTAAGAATATTTTGGAGGAGGGGTGTTCTCTCCAACTTGTAGACTCATGACATCCGTGCCTGTGTCCACGTCTTTCCTATTTGGCCTTTCCTCCGCGTGCCGCATTCAAGTTTGTTTGAGAGCTTCAATATGTCAGCCGTTATCTTTCTTCACTTGTACCGTCCCAATGGTTCAGATGGTATGTAATCGTAACCGACCATAGCAGAAGTGCGCCTGGACGCCGAGTCTCAAGCTTCGCACGCGAGCGCCTCTCGCTTCAAGGCGAACCATTCTTGAGTCATAGCGGTACCTCTGGTACCTCTCAGGTGGGTGTCTGTTGGGCACCACGGTCGCGAGCTGCGAAGCACGCGAAAGGTCAGCCCCCGATTCCCCCGGGAGCCGACTCCAGGAGTACCATTGAACTCCCGAAGCAACTACATACTTGCTCAGCTCTCTGAAGCTCTTGGGAGTGAGCGCTTCAGAGGTTTTCGCTCCGCCATTCACCGCTCTTCACCTGTCCAGCTTGGCTTTTACCCGGTCGCGCCCGTTTTACAGTCTCCCCATGTGGGGATCATGGAACTTTGGCCGTTACTGCGTACTCCGTCACTGTCCTAGTACTCATCACGTTCACTTTCCTAGGTGACACCTCGTCCATCTAAGCCTCTCGTAGTGTTCTAACTTACCGCCCCAGGGACGAAAGGCCCCAGTTTCCACTTAACTCATGTGATGTTTCTGTTCTTATCTTAAACTTGTAATATGTCAAGATTACAGTTTCGATGCATGAACTGCGGCGAATCTCGCGATTACTGGCAGTATGTCGTTATCAATGTGAGTTTTGGACCAGTATTTGGCTTCTTCGCCTCCGTAAAATACATTATTCAGGAAGTGTTGGAAGTTCCCGGCAGTCGTGGAGAGGCGAATCTTGTTGAGAAGTGTAAGCTGTGTAACCGGGTGAACACAGTTGGTGAGTGCGCAAAGAATGCTTTGTATATTTTTCGGGGTTGCCGAGTGGTTTTGGATTGTATAACTGTTCTTGTGTTTCTCTATTTTCATGTAGGTAAAGAGTGAGTAGTTTTCAAGTTTTTAGCTTTCGGATATCGAATTTTGGACAAAGATAGCGTAGTGCCAAAAGGCGCCCCATCCTACGCGCATGCTCCGAGATAGAGTCTTGGATTGAATCCCATCCAGGCCTACCATTCCTTCCACTCCGGAATCGATAAATTGGTACCAGACTTGTGTGGGAGGGTAAAAACAATGACTTATACATCGGCTGGCCCTCGCAAGCTGTTACCGAGTCGCATTCGAATTGTCACTACGATTCTGAATGGAAGTAGAATGCTTAGCGCATCCCAAAAGAGATCGATCAACACTAGAATCTTTGGCTCCAACCTTTCAATTCTGAACTCTGGAGAAATGGCGCTGAGCGTGTGCCGGACTAACAAGAAGAGACTCACTTTGCATGGCCATTGAAGTGCTCATTTATCTTGTTTCTAAATTACTATGTGTTCTCCCAGATGATCCCGTCCGTACCCCAGCGCGAAATCTGTTGTAGACAAATATGAATTGTTAACGGTAAAATTAGCGAGTGTTTTCATGAAAGCTGAGACAAATAGGGGCGTGTTTTTCCCTCGCAATTGAAAAAAGAAGTGATCAAATTCTCTCTTTACAGCCATCATCCAAGATTCCATTGGAAAATATGACGCTGCTGAGCATAATGAGGAGTGGCAGTCTATGATTCAGCTAGATTGTCGTGGTCTGGAACCCATCGATTTCGATCCGAGGGTACGGTAATGTTTTCACATCAGGCTATTTGCTATGGTGAAAAGGGCTCAAATAGATTCATAATGAGTGGAGTTTCATGGGTAGGCCAGACTGCAAGGAGACGGCGTATGTGCTGGTGTTTTGCAGGTTTTTTTTTGGAAAAACTAAAATATGGGTGTTAAATCTTATACTTAGAATCCATACCCACATTGGTGCTATTGGTTTGTGGAACAATGCTTTTCGAATACATATAAAGCTTGTATCGACAGGAGTGTCTAAATATTTTGTTAATACTTTAGCAAATGGAAACATAGCGAAATGATACATGAAAAAAACGAGCTCTATAATTGGGCGGCTTAAAGGAGGAATTCACGATAAGAACGAAGGTCGAAGAAGGGGAAAATTGCATAGTTGGGAGACAGGCGGACCTCCTGAGGGTGCTGACCGACGCGCAATTGGCAGCGAAAGATTTGACCTCGGCGATCTAGCATGGCTCACTCTTGGCGCGGTTGGCGGGGTACGCCCACCGACTATCTAATCACTCGCCGCAGGTCTATACGTGGCGAGTGATTAGATAGCAGAGAGAGCGTAGTGTTGAAGAGGGCACAGCGATGAGAGTGCGCAAATCAACGGGCAAGGAAGGGGTCCCATTTCTCGGGTTTCGGGCCGTTTCAAATGGTTTCTTCTTCATCCCTGCTCCACTGACCACCTCTACCCTTATTTCCAATGAGCTAACTTTTCATCGTAAATTCTGCCTTTAAGTGGTTTCACACCTGGACGTGGCCGTAGGAGGTGTAGGATTCGTTTAGTGTGACC